CTTTTCTCAACAGTTCAAATAGTTAACTTAATTCTAATAAATTGTCTTAAGAATTTTACATCATCATTAATAATTAAAATTCATAATTTCATATTTATACATTATATTATATAATTATAATAAAGTAATATAAAAAGAAGTTCATTATTAAAAATATGAGTAAACATATTAAAATCATTTTTAATGTTTTAATATTTTTAAAATAATATATATTTTAAAAGCTAAATTATTATAGGTAGATAGAGTATACTATCAAAGTAAGAGAAAATATCAAAATAAGGTCAGTTTTTGTTTTAGAAATTTTAAAACTTATCACAATCACATTTTAAACAATTCAATATGTATAGATTAACAAGAGTTTCAAAAATGAAACCCAAAATAAATTTATGAATAAAGTAAATCTTCCATTCCTCAATCTCATTTAGTGTCAGTTTCCTACAAACTAGTAGTAGCATTTTATTTAGAATAATTGGTAATAATAGAAGATAATCATCTGTAAAATGAAACTTTCTTCACCCTCTATAAAATATGTTCATTATAATGACATTGCACTACAAAGTTGTTCTTTCTTAATCAAGAAATAAAAGAACATAAATAATACAGACATAAATATCTTTTGAAAGAAAAAACAAACTCAATTTTTGATTCAGTATTATAAATATTTTCTTTATTGTTATTTTTTGAATCATTTCTGAAAATAAAAATTCACTTCTTTCCAAAAAGTGGTTCTTGGAAAAATTGGTTTTTGATGTAAAATTATTTGAAAAACAGCCAGGACATATTAGCAATACAGAAATTTTTTAGATGAAAAAACTAAGTCTTGCAAATTTTTTGTAACAAGTGAAAATCCTTGCAAATAATTATTTAATCAGAAACTCGTTAAAAAAAATTATCATTTATTATTGAAATTTTTAAAACACATTACATCAGAACTGCAACAAATTCTACCTGTACACATATGACTAAGTTATCTCTCAAGATTTTTAATCACTTCCTCAACTTCTTCTTTAGTGAACATGTGATAACCTTCTCCTGGTGTTACAGTAGCCACCTAAAATAATAATTTAAGACTTCAATAGTTAAAATAATACAGAGAGAATGCTATTGATATTTTTATCTTCTATTAGAAGATAAAAATATCAATAGCATTCAAAAATAAAAAATATATATGAAATAGGACACATTTTTCATTTATGAGAATCAACTTAAGATGATAATTAATAAAATAACAACTTAGTTATATACAACTATAAATTAAAAAATTTCAAATTCAAATCAATATACTATAATACCCTGCTAAGTACTACTTGTTTTGTTACAATGTTCTTGCATCTGGAATAATATTTTTATTCAAAAAAAATAAATTTAAAACTACTAAAAAATTCATAAATCCAAATATTTATATAATCAGTCAAGAGAACAATTTTGTTTATATTCATTTAGTCAATAAGAGTATTTTATACTTATACACTCACATACAACAATCCTTTACTCTGTTAGTTGAAGCACTTGCTACAAAGCTGTACACACATTCCTGTTGTTACACCAATCCTAATTAGGAGCACACCAGATACACAAAACTTTTCTCAAAGTAATTTCCTGCTATCTTTTTTTTTTTTTTTTTTACC